GGAGGGAGGGAGGGAGGGAGGGAGGGAGGGAGAGACAGAGAGAGTGAAGGAGAGAGAGACAGAGAGAGTGAAGGAGAGAGAGAAAACTCTGTCAGCTGCGCCTGACCTTAAACACCTGGCTGCTCAACTACATTTCAGAAATTTCTATCCCAATTCCATCAAATACTACAAAGAACAGCATAAGAGGGGAAAACAAATGACATATGGTCGCTTTTAAGCACAAAGGGGCTATCCCGAAAAATGCAGTTTGGAGAAAATCGAGGGTAAAGTTTTGGGACCCATGAAATCTATCTGTGCGTATTTGTTTTCAAATGAAGTATTCTGTGGTTTCGCATATGAGACAGTTATGACCTTGTCTGCTGTATACGTATAAATTATGGACAATTATTTACACGATTAAAAAGAAATTAGACAAAAACGTTGGGTTGGCTCAGTTGTGCAGATATGCAGAAAATGCTTTTGAAGCAAATTTGAGGGCAAAATGAGCCATCCCATCCAAAATAAGACACACCTTTCTATCTGGACTATGTCTATTCCTGCATTTGAAGTATATACAAATGGTCTATCCCCTGTACAGTGGGCAAACCTACCAAGCTCATCAACTCTTTTATCGTTGGGTTAAGTGGTTTAGCCTCATGTGAGCATTACATTTTAATTAAAGCATTTTCTAACAGATTGGAACGATCATGTAGCACAGTACTCAACTGAAAACTGTTATCATGCAGAAAAAAAAATTGATGAAAAAAACTGACCTGATATGAGAATATTGCAGTCTTTGGGTTATTTTTAACAGCGACATTCAGTGAACTTTTCATTTGAGGTGTCGGCCATTATTGGGGGGTTAGCCAGTTAAAAAACTTTCAAAAGTCGGCAGTTTTACAAGCAGGGATGCCACTCAACCTTTTAAAAAATAGCAAAAAATCCACGCGTCACGGTCTCGTTTACATATGAATATCAATTTGAAATCCAAAGGGTGTACATAGAAAGAAATGACAAACAAACATAAGCAATGGGTGTACATAGAAAGAAATGACAAACATTTAAAGAAAAATAGATTAGATGTACAAGTACTTAACATGAGTGCTGGGTTGTTTTTTTTCCAACAGTAGATTCTATCTCGATCCCAATAACGGAATAGCGGATCAGAATCAAAATACCGGAAATACCGGAAAAAAGCGGAAAAGTGGCATCCCTGTAAAAGGAGAGTTTTCCCTATAACCAAACAAATATACACACCAATGAAACCAAACTTCTCTTATAGGTAGGGCAATGCCCATCTTTGATGTAGGTCAAGATTTCAGGAAAACTCTGAAATCTGGGTTAGCCTGCTTGTCCTTAAAAGCAACCATATATCCAGTTTTGTTCTTTTTCTTTCTCTGCTGTTGAACAAGAGAAATAACTCTTCCCAGTATAAAAACCTCTCAGTGTTGTGGAGCTGTAGTTTTCCCTTGTATATTGGAACCCCTCCATAAAAAAATAACCTGCTTTACTTCAAAGAAAAATCATAACAGCAAATGGGGTAATGGCACACATACAGCTTTCTGACTGTTGAGTGGGACTTTGCCCAATACAAAAGCTATTATATTATTATTACAAAATTATACAAGAGTTGTTATCATTTCATAAAATAGTTCACTTCAGGAGGTACATGCATCCATTTGCCAACCCCATGGTGTTCACAGTGCTGGACAAAGGCTCTTGAGCTCAGCTGGTAGTCACTGGCAGCAGCCTTCACATCTGCGGGAGTCTTGCCACGAAAGAATTCAGCTTTCCCTCTACGCTCCGCTTTGCAAAGGTCCATAAACCATTTCATGTGCATGGCTGTTTTACACAGTCGGCTGGCACAGCCTGGAGACCGGGACACTTTGAAAGGAGATCTAGGAAACATAAAAAAATTCTCACCAACAAGAATATCATGGCTGCCCTCCCCAAAAACAGACAAAAATGAACGACACAAACAACGGAAACTTGAAGAAAGAATTCATTGAATGGCAAAGCAACCAACATGAATATTATTTGATCACTTCCAGGCATGTATTTTGACAAACAAATTTTTACACATTTATTTCCTAGACTTAGTTTGAGTAAAAGTTTTTGTTTTGTTTTAGTAAGGTCTTCCGGCGCTCGCAACTACATAAGGTCATATGAGCGCCAAGGGGTGGATGTCAACAGAGAAGTCCAAACGGGGAATCAGACTTACTCTGCTCACCTCTCTTGCCTCAAAAGCACAAAGTCTGCTTTGACTATCAAGGCATCCCGGAAATAGCAGTTCAAAAGAGAGTGACAAACATACAAAAGATGTAGAGGAAAATGATGATAGTAAGAAGGAAGGAAGGAAGAAAAAACAGCAGTTACCCCTACGTTGTTCCGGCACAGTATGAGCATAACATTGATAAACCAGCACATTTACAAATCTTCTGTGCATAACAACATGTTAATATCCCCCCTTTGGGAATGGCCTAAAGAAAACTTCAGTAAGTAGCACTGCCCCGGGGGGGGGGGGGGAATAAAAGTATTACAACACTTGCAACAAAATAGGTCAAATAAGTGCCACAAGATTAGAGGTTTTGCTAAAAGGAGGGAAGATATGGACAACAGATGTTTGATACGAAAGAGGGAGCAAACCACATCAGAGCACCCGCCATCTACCAACTCACATCTATTTCTACACAGACTAGAGTGACATTGCATTGTAAGAACATACGCCAAACACAGTTGTGAGCCAAATTTCTAGACGTATAATGTCATCATATTTTTTTTTCTCCTTACTCACATTTCATTTGTTCTTCCCTTGTCCCCATCCACCAATTCCAAAAGAGAGTCATAGCAGTTCCAGTTGATGCTGATGTTTGACTGTTGGCTGTACAAATGAGACAGCCGCAGCTGTGCCCTGCGAGGACAAAACTGAAGGACAGGGTGCGAGATGCGGTACGGGGCAGGAAGCTCATCCGACAGCTCATTGTAAACCCGACAGCACAGAGCACGACACAGGTGGCCATGGTTGTTTTGGGGATGAAATCCTGTGGGAGTTTTAGTTAGTTTTGGTTTTAGTAGAGGTTTTACGGCGCTCGCAACTGCATAAGGTCATATGAGCGCCAGAAGATTAGAGCTGTTACAAGAGAGTAACAAACAAAAAAAAAAGAAGAAGAGGCGATAAGGACGATAGATATTTGATAGGAAAGAAGAAGCAAACCACACCAGAGCACCTGCCCACCACCCACAAAGACTAACAGATTATTACATCAGAATGGTACACATCCAAGAAATAGTAAGCTGAGCTTGCTAAAGTATCCAATCTTTGTGACTAACTATGAAATAATTTTTAAGCAAGCATACAACAACATATACTGTATATACAAACATCCCTCCATCCCTCTCCCCCTACTACTTAGTTGGAACACTTAAAAAATATGGTTATATTTGTCATCAAAAAGACAAACAGATTATTAGAATGAAACGCTAAACAGCCGAGAGATAGTAAGCTTGCCCAAGTCTTCAGTCTTTGTAACTTACTATGAAAAATGTTTAAAGCATACAACATATTTACGAACATCGCCCCCATCACCCCCCCCCCCCCTCCTCCCCCCATCCTTCCCCTCTTCCGGTGGAACATTTTTAAAAAAGGAAGTGTGGTTATATTTGTCATCAATTTTCTTGATTCATGAACAATCAATAATTGCCCTTTCTTCCCCCCACTTTAAAAACGAATTTTTAAGTTGTGCCTTTTTACTCTGCACCACAAGAAGGTCATAGTCGTATGAAGACAATGGTACAACTGTCAGGACCAATAACAACAACCTAGAAGAACTTGAGACGAGAGTACAAAAGGCTAACAGCGTCAGCTACCAGCTTGCCCCACTCCTCAAACATCCTAACATCCCCATTGAGACCAAAGCCAAGCTCATTAACTCAATCTTCATCCCCACTTTGACCTACCAGTGCTAGACATGGACCCTGACCAAAAGTCTGGAACGTAAGATAACCACCTGCGAGATGATATGTCTAAGGAAAGCCATCAACAAAACCAGACCAGACATGGTCAGAAACAACAAGATCAGAAAAATGACGGGAACAACACCTGTCCTCCACTACATTCAAAGTCAAACAATCAGGTGGTCTGGACATCTGACATGTATGGCACCTTACCAGCTTGCCAGTAAAGCCTACTACATAAAAGTATCAGGGTACAAGGCAAGAGGAAGACCAAGAAAGACTAGGATCCAGGGTGCAAAGGATGCCCTGAAACATACAACATTCCACCCAGTCAGGTCATCAAACTAGCTAGAGACAAAAAGCTCTCTCTCTCGTCGACGCCCTAGAGGTACAAGAGGACGGGTAAAGTGAAGTATTACCGAGAGAAATGGACGACAAGTAGATCGGGTGTGTGAACAGACTGAGTGCTGCCCCCTGCAGCCCAACGATGTTCCAGTGAAGCAGTTTGTCCGACTGACTCATCACTCGTATTTCGTTTTTCTCCTTGACCAGCGCCAGACTCGTCTGGCTCTCCACGTGGTGGGTCATCTCCACGACTCCTGCAAAAGAAACAGTTTGTGGTTTGTTAGCTTATGGAACGTAGTACAACTCACTGATTTCCATTACCACAAAATTTGTCATCTTTTTTCCTTTTATTCACATTTGACAACTTCTAGGCAAGCAAAGTGACCATAATAATATCTATTTTTATAGAGAGGCATATGTGAATACAAAAACGGCCTCAGCCTACTTAACCCTTTCACTGATATATTTCATGTCTTATTCCTAGTGACTGGGTGTTTTACACCGGTACACACTGAAATAGAGAAATATCAACAAAGGTCTCAAACCAAGTGACTGGGTGGGTTACATCCGTACACCCTAAACGGATAAAAGTTTGTAGTACTGTATGTATGTGGATGGCGAGTTGCATTTAGAACATAAACAAACTTTCATCTTCATTAAATCAGAGCAATTGCCCTTACATAATACTAAGTAGAGGACTCAGAACTGAGGGACAAAAGTGATTTCTGACTCTGATTGGGAAGTAAGGTAACCGCCTGAGAAGGCTTACGAATTGGACTCAAAACTTTTCTCTCTGATACTAAATCTAACGTCTCTTCATCAGGGCTGCTGTCTCGCCCTATCAGGGCAGTGCTACTGACTGAAGTGTCTTTAGGCCATTCCCAAAGGGGGGATATTAACATGTTCTTATGCACAGGAGAATTGTAAATGGCCTGATTTATCAATGTCATGCTCAAACAGTGTCGAAACGACGTAGGGGGAACTGCTGCTTTTTCTTTCCTCATCCTTACTATCGTCACATGATCTTATGCAGTTGCGAGCACAGTAAAACCTTACTAAAAACAAACAACGTTTAACAAACAGATGCTGTTAGCCCCGAGAGGCTTTTGCAAAGCATTGCGCACACAGAGAATGGTTTTGTGATCAAAGACACGTGGATTTCGTTAAATTTAAGAGCATGGACATATCCTTACCGGAGTCTGTGGTGTCATATAGAGGTCAAGAGCTTCGCTGTCCCACAGAGGAGACCGAAGTTCCATTTTTGAATGGAGGGGAATTTTTAAACAGTATCTCGGTCTTTCTGTTGGAATGTTGTACCCCTCTAAGCCTGTGTTGGACCTGACAGGCAGGGTCAAAGCCCACCTTTCATTATTTAAATTGTGTTGATGAGGGCGTTACAACACCTACCACCTACATTAAATTCTTTTTCAACTCAAAAAATAAAACTATTTCCGTTTAATTTCTTGCATCTGAAAACCCAGACAGACTTACTTTTTTTGTTGAATTTTTCTAACCCTTATATACAAGACATTTTATTACAATGACTGTTGAGGGTGTTTTTTTAAGGAAACATGTTGAAGAAGGGAGAAATCTGGCAACTTATAATGTACATTCTAATCACCTTCTATTCATAATATTGACCTTTATTATAAAGTTTTGTTGGTGGTAAGTACTGAGGCTAAAAAGTAGTAGAATTTGAAAGGTCATCAAGTACTGTGGGGATGAATAATCCTTATAAACAGAAAAAAAGGTAATATAAAAAGGTAGCACCTCCAAAATTGAAATACCTCTTGGAGAAAACTTCAAAAGTAGACAGAAATCTTGGACAACTCCTCTAAACAACCCCATTACCAGAATCTTATTTTTTTTTTTTTTTTTAAAAAGGTCCAACTGTCTGACCTTTCTCAGTTCTGCACTTCAACATGCCATGAAGATCATTTGTAAATGTCGGGAGGTGACCACCCTGGTCAATCGTTTGCTGTTCCTCTGGGGTTGGACTAGTGGACCTTGAGAGAAAAGACCTTCCATTATTCTGGAAAGGACATTATTTTATACAGGGGAGAACACATTACATTATACAGGACAGAGAATATTATTTTATACGGTAGAGAAGACATTACATTTTACTGGAGAGAATACATTACATTATACAGGAGAGAGGACATTACTTTATACAGGAGAGAACACATTATGTGACACATACCATTGCATAGGAGAGAACATATTACAATACACAAGAGAGAATACATTACATTATACAGGAGAGAAGATTTTACTTTATACGTAAAATTATATTGGAGAGAAGACATTACGTTACGCATTATGATTTTATATAGAAAGACAATACTTTATACAGAAGAGAGAACTTTACAAGAGAGAAGACAGCGGGTGGTTGGTGGTTGCTCTTGTGTAGTTTACTCCTTATTCCTATCAAATATCTATTGTCCCCATCTCCCCTCCTTCTTTTTTGTATTTGTTACTCTCTTTTAACACCTCAAATCTTCAGCACTTATATGAATTTACTGTGTTGCAAATGCTGTAATACTCTTACTAAAACTAAAGAGAGAAGACTCCAGGGAGCAGCCTGTTAGGCACTGTGATCGCATCACTCTAATTTAGGATAAGATTACACGAGCCAACCAGGCTCTCCCCAGCACAGCGTGATACACACACTGCCAGTACATCTAGAGAAAAAGATCTACAAAGACACCCTCAAACTTAGTTAGTTTAGTTTTAGTAGAGGTTTTACGGCGCTCACAACTGCATAAGGTCATATGAGCACCAGAGGATTAGAGGTGTTACAAGAGAGTAACAAACATAAAGAAGAAGAAGGGGAGATAAGGACGATAGATGTTTGATAGGAAAGAAGGAGCAAACCACACCAGAGCACCCGCCCACCACCCACACCCTGAAACTGTATCTGAAGGATTTTAACATAAATCCTTCGACATGGGGAGAGCCTTGCTCCTGACAGACCCAGCTGGAGAGCAGCAGTCACAGTGGGCGGCAAATCAAAAGAGGCTTCATAAATAAAAAATTGTTGAAACCAAGAGTGAATCCTGCAAGCTGCACGCATCCACAAGTGGAAGTGGAGCCTTTGAATTTTCACAATGTGGCAAACTTTTCTCTACCAGAATTGGTCTCACCGGCCACAACAGAAGCCATAGGTCATCGTAAACTTTAATTCTTCAAATTCTTCTATTTCACTGGAGAAATATTCTCCCCTTTGAATGTATATGTCATCAGCAGACATGACGAACAAGCTATTACTATTGTTAGTATCCAGTCACATCATAGCATTTTACTTATAGGGCAGTGTGTGTAAGACAGAACTTCCGTGAATCTACTCATGTGAGGGTGGGTTTCTGAGTTGTGATTGAAGACAGACCATGTGACGCTGTGCAGGGTCGTTTGGTGTGTGAACTATGCTCGTGTTTGTGAGCATGTGAGTTTTTTTGTTTTAGTAAGAGTTTTACAGCACTTGCAACACAGTAAGATCATATAGGAGCCAAAGATAGGAGATGTTATAAGAAAGTAACAATCACATAAATAATAAAGACAGACAGACCGAGAGACAGATAGATACACATACGGGTGGATACATATAAATATATAATATATATATATATATTAAGATGCAGATATATTTACCCTTCAAGAAAATCCTGGTAGTCCCCATCTGGAGGGTGGCTAAGGTACAGGTGTAAACTCATGCCATCTGCCAGTTGCATCTTGTTGGAGTCATCGGGGGCCCACATGAATATGCTACTCTTTCCCTCATGAAGGTTCAGCATTTCTTGAGCTAAGTATCTGAAAGAGAGTAGAGATTTTAATACTTTCCATATCGCAGATCTATCAACTGTTGGAGTGTGAAAGAAGCAATGCTTTTCAAGTTTGTTTGGTTAGTTTGAATCAAGAGGGGAGCACATCGACACAATTACAATCACTTAGAGTGAGGACAAGGCAAGACTGACAGAAAGAAACAACTGAAGGAGAGAAAGTAGCAGGACCTACCACCAGTGGCCCCCTCCACCCACCCGCTGACCCGACTTTTCGGCCTTATGCCGAGTTCAAAGCGGGACAGGTGATACATGAAGCTGATGAGGCTTCGGCCTCAAATATATCTAGTGGATGGTAACGTCTTCTTAAATAAAGTTTTGAAAAATAAAAAGCATCAAGTTATTACTCAGCCCAGATGAACAAAAATTTTACCAATCTTGGAAAAAACTAAACAGGAAAAGGAGCAAATCCAAACAAAAAGCCCATTGACCCAAAAGGAGGAGAGGAAAGGAAGATCAAACTGTGGAAAGAAAGAGTAAAGGAAAAAAAAAAGGGGAAAAAAGGGAAAAAAGGGTAGTTTGTGGGTGTACAAAACCTCCTATCAGATATCCTATACATATCTACAAACTTTATCATAATAATAACAATAATAATAGACAACATTTGTATAGCGCAAATTTCCACTCAACAGCAAGTTCTACACACTTAACAATCTATATTATTACCCCAGCAGACCTGATAGATTTCATCCACTGCCAATAAATTCTGATAAATGAAAACTCAAAATTCTTTCCAAATTAATTTCATCAGAACCAATAGGCAAAGACAATTTCCACTTCCACCACCGTCTGTCCCCTCAGAACACACTGTGGCCACAGCAGCAGAACTATTGGCAGTGACAGAAGAATGAACTGTTTATAAGCTCGCTCTGGTTGATTGTTTCAATGATGGAGTATGTTTTACAGTGCTTTTCACACAATTTGGCCATTGCACTCGCTAAAAACTGATGAACAACGATTACCTACCAGTCAAACTGTTGATCATAAAGATGGACAAACATTTATGCAATCCTAAGTTAATACGGTAAAAATTTTACTTAACTACAATATTGTAGCACGGTACGCAAATTCTAAACTTTTATATTTTTCTAACCAAACAAATTTCTTGTAACAAAATCAAGAATCTTCCTGGGTTCAATAATGTCAAAAATAATCTAAATGTCTGTACATTTAAAATATCAAATATGTGCAGCTGTAAATTCAACACATTCTACGAGAATGTGCTGAACAGTAATAAGAATATATGGCATTTATATCAAATAAATCACAAGACCTCAATGCGCATGGTGGTACCATTTTTTATAATATCCAGAACTTAAAACAGTCAGAAACACCACAAAATAGTAGTTGGAGCACATGAAGAAGACTGCCTGTTGGTGCGATCACTACAAATATATATCATGTTTTGTTTGTTTAGTATAGGGTTTTACGGCGCTCGCAACTGCATAAGGTCATATGAGCGCGCGGGACACACCCAATACTTTTTCGGTGGTAGGAAATTTTGAATTTTGCCCGGGTGGCGGCCGAAGCCTACTCTTATCGATTTTAGACCACCAAGGGATCTTTAACGTGCGCAACTTGCACACGGGCCCTCCGAGATTTTTCGCCCTTGTCCGAGAAGGCTAGGTGTAGATCTTTCCTACCAGAAGATCAGGGGTGTGGCAGAAAGACAGCAGTTAGGAGGAGCCAAGAAGTAGCAGTAGAAAGGCTGCAGAAAGAGTCAGGAGCCCAGAGGGGGCAAAGGAGGTGAGGGGGTGGGGGCAGAAAGTGGAAATGAAAGCAGACAACAGAACATTGTTAGAGATCAGGAAAGGATGTGAAAGGAGACAATTTTAGAGAAGAAAATTTTTTGGTCGCTACCCGGAATCGAACCCGGGACCTTTGAATGAGAGGCCAACACCTTAACCTCTAGGCCACGAGAGCCCCTTATATATATCATAAAAAATATTCTGCACTCCATGCCAAAATGAGCTTCCCCTCCAAGAAGACGTTTGTTCATGGTATGAACGTGCCCAATTTTCAAACGAGTTATAATGACTTTTGCTCTTTCTGGGTAAAATCTTCCTCTGGATGTTGTGGAGTCTGTTCTTATTTAGTTACTCCTAAATTTTGACCCCAGTAGATGTAGTGCCAGTATTTGTAAATTTGGCGTCTAAAGTCAGAGAGCGGAATTTTATCATGATTGTCCTGGATCGATAACAACATCATGATTGTCAGGATGTTCTGGGCAAAAGACTGAGGGCACAGAGATAACTAACAAGACACTAAAAGTGATTTGACAGTCGTAGCAGTTGCCATGGTGTGTTCTTAATATAGGTGTAAGCCTGAAGAAAGGTGGACGACCGGAAATTTTGGATTTAAAAAATAAGAGCATATTCTTGTAGCTAATTCAATACTGAACACGCTGGGGGGGGGGTTCAAAATATTTTGATTAGTTTTAAAGAAATTTCACATATAGCAACAAAGGGTGAAAAAACAAAATTTGGAGAAAACCTCAGTCTGTTGACTCCATTTTAGCATATTTTTAACCTTTGGTGAAGTACATTTGAAAAAATATAATGAATAAAAATATATTTAGACCTAAAACATAAAATCCTTTCAATGTGTTATTAAGAAATGGTAGTTGTTGCTAGCGATCCAGATTAAGAAATGGTTAAATTGTGTTTTGTGATGGAACTAAATTTTTGACCAGGTATGACTTTTTTTAGCCTTTTCCCCGTTTTTCAAAAACAGCTTTGCCAACAACTGGAGCCTTCCTCCATGCACACAAACATATAATATTAAAACTTCCATTTATATAGTGCATATCCATGCTCTAAAGCACGCTCTATACGTTTTTCAAGAGTGCTGCAAGTATCTCAGTGGCTTTAAGGTGACGAGCATTCGACCGCACCGCTATCTACAAGAAAAGATTTAGTGCATCTTTTGCCAGTTACCTCAAGAGGGATCGTCTGGCCACAGTGAGACAAGTGGAATCAAGAAGACTGCGGCCATCGACGGTCACGTGCTCTGCAGCAATAGAACAGCTCCCTGTACCCAGAGCCACCAATTCTCCCACTCCACCCTGGCCTAGGAACGAAGGGAAAAAACAACAACAAAAATGGCCAACTTCACACAAAGAAAACTTTTTGGTACATAAAAGAGGGCGTGGGTAGGAGGTGGGGGGGTCTCTGTAATCATTTGAAGTCATAACAAATCCCAAATTACAATTAGGCACAGATAATGTGAACACAGAAAACTCAAAATCCCAGATAGCTCGTATATTTTATCATTCCCGACTGAACTCTTCTATTTTTCGTTAAGTTAACACAAATTATGGATGGAATAGACGCATTTGGTAATACCAGGCGTGTTTGAGTATTCCATGCCCAGCTGTAAATACTTATTACTGTGCAGCAAGCCAAAATGAAGGTCATACATGATTAAATAGCTTCTCGACAGCTGAGTATCTCTGCTTATTTCAAAGCCTGTGCATTGTAAACACAATCAAAGTGAGAAATGAGTATGCTTGTAAGTTAACAAGAAATATAAATCTGAGTTACAGTTTTATCTATTTCTCTGAGATAATCGAGATATCAAAGCCAAAAGAAGAACTTAAATAGCCAGGTAATTAAACTACCTCAACAAACATCATAGCTACAACACCTTCTGAATAACATTTATTCAACCTTCACTTCACCACTGACATAAGCATCAGATTATTTATCCACTATTATTAATAAGTTTACATATTATAACTAATTTGTGTAAACATGTTTTGCGAACCAGATTTAGAGGGTTTTATGTACTGTAGCGTCTATAGCAGTCGGGATGTAATTTTCAAGTATGAAATGCCTTTTGTAAAAATATCTGTGTAAAAATATAATAATCGAGGATCATTACTTAGTGCCCAAGTTATAGTTACTTGAAATTCGGGAGTTATAAACACAGTTTTTTAGAATATAAATTTATGCCCCATAGTTAGGCACAGGCAACTCAAACACTTTGGCGATTGACAAATGTGCTCGACACATCCATAATTTCAGAAAATTGAAATAACAATTAAAGAGATATCAGAGGGGGCATAGCAAATCATACGAGCTATCCCTGATTCCGAGTTTTTCTTGTTCGTGTTATCCGAGCCTGGTTGTACCTCAAAACAGCTGAAAACAAAAGCAACTCATTTTGAAGCATCTATAAATAATATAAATGCATACAAAGTTCAAGGACTCACTGCTGCACAAGAAGAAGGCCGCAATTTTGTGCTCCATTTGGGAGAAGTATGGCGGCAAAAGCTGCAGTCGCAATTCAAACGTCTCATAGACAATGTCCTGTCTTTTCTGTGCAATCTCGGGGTTAGGGGCAAGTACTGGCATTTCCAAGGCAGGGAATGCCCCCTCGGCATACAGTGTGTCTACATGAGCCTGTGGACATTGAAGTTTTAGTAAGAGTTTTACTGCATTTGCATAACAATAAGTTCATATGAGTGCCGAAGGTTAGAGAGTGTTAGAAGAGAGTAACAAACACTAAAAAAGGGGGAGAAGAGGTAAGAATGACAGATGTTTGATAGTAAAGAAGGAGCAAAACATACCAGAGCACCCGCCAACCACCCATGAAGGGAAAAAGTAAGACAGCTAGACAGAAATATAAAAGATTAACAAATAAAAGTACAGCCTACCAGTGGTTCCCTACAAACACCCATGAGACTGGTCTCAAGAAAAAAGAAAAACACCATACATTGAATATTGATGGCTTGAACACATAACATGAGGAGACACAAGATAGTGAAATAAAGTCAAGAATCTTTCACTCACTGCAATTCACATTTTCTAGAATCAAAGCCCCCCCCAAGGGATTGTGGCATAAGAGGTCCTCGCACACACCATAGAGAATATCACAACAGCCCTCCCCCTTCTCCCACACACACACACATCAAGAGAGGTTATCGCTACATAACCCACCCCTCCTCCACTCCTCACACACACACATACACAGAGGTTGTCACATAAGCCACCCCCACACATACCAGAGAGAATGTCAACTAAGACCCCAACCCACATACACATGCATCAAAGAGGTTGTCACATCCATCCCCACCCCCACCCACATCACACACACACACACACATACACACAGGGACATCCACGGATAAACACACACACACACAGAGGTTGTCAGGTTATCATACCCCCTCCCCTCACACACACATACAAACACAAATCAGAGAACTTCTGGCCTATGAGTAGACCTCCACCTACGGGTCACCATTGCAACTGTGCTAGGAAGACACTATACCTCTCTTATCTCCCCTCAACCCCCACCCCCGTCCCTCAAGCCCCCTTAGAGAGTAACCATAGAGGAAAAAGTCAAGAAGATCACGCGAGACGCTCGCCTACCGTGGCTGCCTCTCCCAACATCACAATAGCCTGTGAGTGAGCGGCCAAAATGACCCGGTCTTTATCCGGCCCCTTCTCAACCACCTGGTCCTGGCCCGCAACAGCGACCACGCAGCGGTGCAAGCTGGGAGGAAGAAAGTATAGTTTGTTTCTTTTTACTTTGAGCAAAAAAGAAAAAGTGTTTTATAATCAGTTTGCTGTATGATTTTTACTCTGTGCTCACACTTCTTATTAGACAGGTTGATATCATTCAAACACATTCTTTGACTCTATTTCCATGATTCTGTTGTGAGCTTCACAATCTTTCAATAGTTGAAAATCATACAAAAGACAAAATGCCATTCATTACCTCTTATATCAAGTCATTATGTAGTACAAAATGATAGAGCAAATCCCCCACCCCCGTCCCATTTTACAGATCACAGCTTACATGACAATTCAAAACACGTGTCAAAAGTACCAGAGCGCTTTGGGGTTATTATGGAGAGAGACAAATGATACACCAATATCACACATGTGCACTTAGGAGACATTTCCCAACAGGGTGAAATGCACCTCCTTTTGGAGGGCAGTAGGTTTATTTTATAGCATCCCCACCTCCCCCCACAAAGAAACCCTCATCAAACCCATGAGGATAGAGTTGGGTTCTATTGTTAAAAAGATGGCAACTGTCTGAAGGAAAGTAGCCAGAGTGCTGCTGGGAAAGCAACAACAGCAACAACAGCAACAACAACAACAACAACAATAACAACAACAACCACCACCACAATAATCACAACCACAACGCACCCGTCTGGATCCACATCAACTGAGGAGTTATATATTAGATCTCTTTCCTTACACAGGTCTCGTAACCTGCGAACTTCCAAGAATCTGTCCTCAGACTCCTCTGACTTTTCTTCCACTGGAAAGATCACAAAACAAACACTCATGTAAAAGCTTGCACAGTTCACACCTCCATAAAAGTTAAGATAGAGAGATTTTAGAGAATACTACACTAATGTCCCTTAAGGATAGATCCACTACAAAAGGAGCAGGTCACAATAGAGGGAAATGCACGAGAAGACGTCAAATCTTTCTGCTATCTTGAGAATATAACTGACAGCGAGGGAGGAACAGGTGCTGAAACAAAGTCCTGCATCGGAAAGGCACAGACTGCATTTATTTCTTTGAATAGGATTTGGAGGACCAGGGATATCTCACTACGAACAAAGCTGAGGATTTTCAACTCAAATGTGAAGTCAGTCTTGTATGGATGTGAGACATGGAACACATGTCAGACTTGCATAAAGAGGATCCAGGTTTTCTTGAACAAGTGTCTAAGGAAGTTACTGATGATCAGATGGACAGACAGGATCACCAACGAGGAAGTATTAAAAAGAAGGAGACAGAGCACAGTCAGAGATGAGGTGGGAAGAAAGCGTGCACGATGGATTTGACACACTTTCAGGATGTCAAGCAGCTGTATAACAAGGAAAGTGTTAAATTGGAACCCACAGGGTAAAAGATCAAGGAGAAGATCGTATGGAACCTGGAGAAGAGTCACAGAATTGGATGTACAGAAAAGTGGGAAGACATGGAGTGACATCAAGCGACTAGCCCAGTTCAGGGAAAGGTGGAAAGTGTTTGTTCGTGGCCTATATCCTGATCCAGGGTGAGAAAGGCAACAATGAGGATGACACTAATGTCCAAGGCTAAGAAAATTGCCTCAACAGTACAAATCTGAGTAAAGATAGATTATATTTTTTGAAAATTTAAGAGCACAAAAGGCTAATACAAACTGATTGCTTCTGTTTGTTTCATTAGTTCTTGGGTCAGAAGCAATAATATGTGATAAGGAACTAGAAAACTATTCAAAAAAGCACAACAAACTATTAAATTTTATGTGGTCAAGCTATGAGTAAGGGGAATCAGGTACTTGACAATTATTAGGTATAGGGTGTTCTTGGCATCATTCTTGGCTTAAAGCTGGTTCATTTGTCCTGCTCTTGATGAAAAAAAACCAATCCATCTATCTTAAACAGAAGTCAAAATATTGGTTATTAAGGGCGCTGGGGGGCCAACGAGGGTCATATGTAAAATTAGCAAGAAAATGGACAGGAGAGTTTGGTGACTTTCAAAGCTTGAGAATCCTTGGAAATTGCAAAATTTACAGTTTTGGCACCTTTCATCAACATTTTTTAGTAAAATCCACATAGAACTGTGTTATACCACACATCATGCGACAGCATTTTTATTTATTAAGAAATGTGGTAGTACATGGAGCTCTGAAACAAATATTACAATAATCTAAGCACACATAAATTGTACACCATAAATAGTTCAGCACATACAGCCTGGTTATCAGCATTGACATGCTCTACAGACTTTGATCTATTGCCATTATTATTCCAAAACAGTTCTATATTCAGTCAAAACTAAATCAATGAAAAATAGTAAAAAGAAACAGAGGCAAGCTTGGGAAAAAAATACAATAATCCCCACGATGTTTGTCCTTCGCAGATGAAGATGACCTTGACTTCACATTACTGAGGTGTGGGGTGTGCGCCGAGATGGCTGATCAAGCCAATCTTCGCCTAGAAATATCTTGTTGCAAAGAAAGAGAGGTTGTGTAAGGCTTGACCAGGCGGGGGGGGTACGCGCTCAGCTTAAGTCTGTATTTTTTTGGTTTGTTTTTGTTGGGTTTTTTAAAAAGAGGACGTTACCATCCACTAGATATAACAAAAGCCAAGGCTTCAGTGAAGCCTGCGCTCATATGACCTTATGCAGTTGCGAGCACCGTAAAATACTTACAAAAAAAAAGCAGTCTAAAAAAAGAAAAAGTCCATGTTCTTTGTATCTGATGCCTCTCTCCTCAAATTCAGCAACTTCAGATCTTACTAAGGACCAGGAGCACCAGACAATCCTTATAACACACTGCCAGGAAACCAACCTGGAACAAAGTCATCCAAACCAACCAGAGCCCGGAACGCCAGCCTGCTGGCCTCGTTTCTGGCCTCTTTCTTGTTTTGGCCCACTCCCTGGAGATAACTCTGCCCGTCGATGATCACACGAATTCCAAACCTGCGGAGGTAAAATGTTGGAAATTTACATAACTAAACACCTTAGTATTTTAATCATGATGACATCACAAACATCTGGCTAGAGCTTTGAATCTGACCGGTTGTAGGCAGAGAGTAATAATCTCACTCATCACATCTGAAACGCAGAGTAATAGTCATAGAATACGATCATTACATAGGGAAAGGACAGGCTGGAAAACATTATATGTCGAATTGACCAATTTACCGTAAAGTTACGGCCATAAGCAACGACCTTTTTACTCAGCCTTAAACCCTGCTGCTAAAACAACGAGGTGGATTATTTGTGGGTTTTCCCCAATCGCTGGAGGATCACTTCCTTGTCTATTCTTAGCATACACCTTAAATACAGGAAAAGGCTGACATGTTTTCCTCAACTCTACTCAATCTGTTCAACTCCCAACACTGAAGAAAACGATATCAGCAGATTCAGCGTACAGGACGATTTCATTAAATAAATGTGACCTATATATCTGTGTTGTATAATCTGCTGCGGTTTAAAAACCAGTGCAGGTTATTTGTGAAAAAAGTTAAGATTTTTTTCACATATTAGGGGTCGGCTTATCTACAGGGGCGCCCAATAGCCTGAACTTTTCAGTATGCATATTTGAGAGATAAAACAATTGTGGCTGCCCAATGGAGGATCTATAGAGTACATATTAACTCTTTCCATACCCAGAGGGCTCTCAAAATTTGCGTCAAGCCCGTGCCTTGAACACTGAATGTGATGTTAAGAGAGACTAGAAACCATATTTATTCTGTGAAACAAAATTAAAATCAACATCTATTTTCAACAAAAACGTTCAACTAGAGTTCCTGTCATTGGTCAGATTGAAAAGTTTTCCAAGCATTAAGGTGACAGGTTCTCTTTAAAAAGTTTTTGGTTTTAAAATAATAAGAGATTTACTTACTTACAACACAATTATAAGGTCACACAAGTGCCAAAGAATAGAGGTGTTACAAGAGAGTAATGAACATAAAAAAGAGGAGGGAAGATAAGGACAATAGATTAAAAAGCAGAAAACAAAGGAAAAAGAGTTTCATATCAACAATAGACCATGGATTGACACATCAGCTCGAAGTCGGAACCACTGTGCCGGTGAGACGCTGGCAGTGGCTCGGGCACATTCCTTTACTGTGACTTTGATGTCAAATAAGTTTTTGGCAATTGCCCAAAACAGATCTCTTTCACAGGGAGTTCTTTCATTAGATGAAGAACTTTAAAAATAGGTTTACTTGCTTTGACTTAATGACCAATGTAATAACATAATTGTCACTTTTAGGTTTCGAACCAAAAGAGTACGCTGACATAGTAAGTTTATCCCCCTCGGAGATAAAGCGTTAAACTACAGAAAGAAGACTGAAACAGCCTAATTAGGGAAGGAAAAGAGAATATAACAGAACAGTGGAAAGACATGGAATAACATCAAGAGGCTAGCCCAGGATAGGGAAAGGTGGAAATTGTTTGTTCGTGGCCCCTACCCTGAGCCAAGGTGAAAAAGGCAATGATGATAATGACAGGGAGATACTACCTGCCGATGTAGCCGGGTCTGTGCTCTGCCGCCTCCTCGCGAAAATCCAGCTGCATGCGGTTCCGAGAGCAGTACTCATGAAGACACATGGTCGGGTTCTTCTTGCCCTTCAGAAACTCACGTATGAGAATGTCATCCTCCGTCTGCTCCAAGGATTGGGGGGGGGGGAGGGAATAACGAAAAGATTTTGTCAGTTGTATTAAGAGTTCTACGGATGGCATTTGCAACACAATAAGGTCAGATAAATGACGAAGATTAGAGGTTTAACAAGAGGGTAACAAACAAGGAAAAGAAGGAGGAGAGATAAGGACGATAGATGTTTGAAAGGAAAAAAAGGAGTAAAACACACCAGAGCACCAGCCAACCACCCAAAAAGAGAAAGAAAAGACCATAATTTTACAAAGCGATGTTTACAAATCATTTGAGTACATGTGTGTGTGGGGGTGTGAGTGTGTGTGTGTGGGGGGGGGGCGGCAAAGAAAGACACACAACACAAGGCAGTGAAATAAAAGGTAAAAGATATGACCATTAAATTAATGTTTGTTTTGTTTGTGTAAAGAGAAGCACATCAAAACAATAATGGTTATTTAGTGCAGGTAAAAAGTCAGACAAACAGACAGAAACGGCTGAGGAAAAGTAAAGAAGAGGGATCTACCAGTACCGCCTTCCAACAACCCACACATTGTATGAATTGCCCTTCTAAAACTGACCTCTTCTGGTTCCGGTACAGGAAATTCACTATCATCTGGCCTCTGGGTCAGACCTGGGATATACTGCATCTTCTTCGGACCCATGGTTCCCACACGTGAACACTCTGTTCTGATGAAATAACATATAATTCAACAGTTAGGACAGACGTGGTGTCCTTCTTAAATTTCTATTGCAGAGTATTTTTGTCCAATTACTCGGCCTCATCGAGATAATAACAATCATATTGTTGCTGTCATAAGACAATAAGTAACTGTAGTGATTTTCTTTGTAAAAGGTAACAGAGCAATGTGCTGTGAAAAAACCTATGACGCTGAAGTATGGTTAGTAGCAGGTCACCACAACTGCCACATCATTTCACCAGAAATAGTTTAAGAAAAGATTACATCCATACAAAACCGATATTATTATCATACAAGCCTCAATTAATTCACAAAGGAATTTACGCCCCATATTCAAATCGTTAGGACAGTTGACTATCCCTGAATCCGTTTGTGGGGATTTTCTCATGAAATATTTATGTAAACATTATGAGCAATGACAGCAACAATGACAAAGAAGAAGAGCAGTGTCTCACAAGAGGAGCAAAGCATTTTGGGTTGGTTTGAGTAGTAGAATAAGGCAAGTCGACATGATAAGGTTACTAAATTACGCCTGTCAGCAAAATATTAGGAACAGTATTATTATCAGCTTCAATAACTGGAGAAAGAGCAGATCAACCCACCAGCCCTTCAGACATCTGTTAAAGAAGACTTGAGGAGATGAAACTTATTCTAAAGGAGTAAGAAATATAATTAGTTTTCGTAAGTGTTTTATAGCACTTGCAACACAATAAGGTCATATAAGAGCCGAAGATTAGAGGTGCTACAAGAGATTAACAAACATAAAAAAGAAGGAGGGGAGATATTGTTTTAGTAGAGGTTTATGGTGCCCGCAACTGCATAAGGTCATATGAGCGCCAAGGGGCGGATGTCAACAGAGAAGTCCTTACAGAGAATCAGACTTACTCTTTTCATCTCTCTGGCTTCTACAGCACAAAGTTTGCTTCGACTATCAAGGCATCCCAGAAATAGCGGGTCACGAGAGTGTGACAAACATACAAAAGAAGTAGAGGAAAATGACGATAGTAAGGATTAGGAAAGAAAAAGCAGCAGTTCCCTGTTGTAGATCAGGCACAGTTATGAGCATGACATTGTTAGATAAGCCCATTTACACTTCTACTGTGCATTAAAACAAAAAATGTTCCCCCTTTGGGAATGGTCTAAAGACACTTCAGTCAGTGGCACGGCCCCGGGGGGGTGGAGGGGAGATAAAGACGATAGATGTTTGACAGGAAAAAAGAAGCAAACCACACAAGAGCACCCGCCATCCACCCACAGTAAGAGATATGAGACTCTTGACGGCATAAATTTAATACAAACAAAAATTTTTTTAATGAACAGACAAAAAATAAACTAAACGTAATAAAAACTTCATAAGACAAAAACGGTAATAAATCCATTCAGGCTTCCACAACATAAAGGAAACAAATAGGCAAAAAATGTATAGAATTCTTCCTCAAAAAAGCCAAAATCAAAAGATAACATTTTGTTACCAGACACAACTGAGGAGACGGTATAGAGGTTCCCTTTTAGAATTTGTAGCAGAGATTAAAATAAAATATATATACATTGCATCTTAGAATAATCCAAGAACACTTTTCTACAGGTTCAATTTATCACAACATTAGCAAATAAAACAACAAAATATAATAAATGACATTCAGAATCAAAATTGTGACACGAAAGGCAAAAGGTAAGAGACTAAAAAAATGTTAACATTTTCATAGAAACTTCAAAAACATAACTCAGCGTGAGTTCAAAACACTGGAATATCTATTGTATAAAAGGAGGTAAAATAGAAAGAATGACTTAGTAAGGGGGCAACAAAAGGGCATGTAAAATGTAAGAAAAGCCACTAGGAAAAATAATGTAAAGAAAAACTCCACGAGACAAATACACATTCTTATAAAACTTAAAGAAAACATTCAAAACCCTGAAATCAGAAAAAAACCAAAACAGTTTGGCAAACAGTAACCATGAAAAAGTGGTTAATTTAAAGTAAAGAAAAACACATATATTATTATATCACCACAATAACCAATTATCTACCACCAACACTCCAAAAACGCAAACAAAAGAAGGTGAAAATAAAAAAGACAAAAACAAACAGAGACACTTGCACAGATTTTAAATACTTAGAAATAGCAAGAATTACAAGATTTATTGGAGAAAAAAATTAGCTTATATGAAGTGCAGAAGGATCACAGATTCAGGAATATGTGAGCAAGACAAATGCAGTACAACAGAGCTTGGAAATTGACATCATATGAATACCCACAAAAGTAAGAAAACTCAGAGTTCTTTTTATTAAACTTTGAAAGGAAAGGACTCAACTTTCATCCTTGAAGAAGAGCGTTGCCTAAATTCTTATTCACATATCTAGATCAAAATTGCTGTTGCTGAAAATGTCCTAAGGCAAATGATCAAGGTAATCACAGTGATTACTGAATATAAACAAAGCATGGTCACTACAATGCATAGTATTTTCAAGGAAAATTGGCTCCATTAGGTTTTCTTCTTAGAAAATCCCCGACAGCTCTTCATGTGCACCTGGAGTCGATCCGGCAGAAAAGTCCGGCCACATTTTTCACATCTGACGTACTGTTCCTGAGCCGATTGAAAGGCAGCATCGTTGAGGGCATCCAGGTTGTACTTGCCACCTGCCGAGCCTTTTACTCCTTCTTTCAGTTCCAGGAGTACTTGAGGTTTCACAGGTTCTGGACGTCGCATTCCCTTCGGTAGTCTTCTATTCTCCTCCCTCCACTTCTCCAGACACTGCTTCTCGTGGATTCCAATGGATGCAGTGCCGTAGTTGCGACCACAAATGTAGCAGATTACTCCAGGAAGTCTGAAAACAGCACCTTGTTGAGGAAGGGGCTGAGTATCAGGTTGTGAGTTTTGTCCTTTCATTTCTGGTCTTCTTGAACCCCTTCCTAGAGAGGCTGCCTGAGGGCCAGCAGAGAAACTGGCAGTGTTCAAAGCCCTATCATTATTTACGTTATAAGAACTGGTACCCGGACTTCTTTGGCTTGTCCTAATAATTTGCCCTGGCCTTTTGATTTTTGCAGGTATTACCTTTGCTGGATGATTTCTAACTATATCTTCTGATGTCATAAAATTTGTAGGCCTGAAAGTCGCAGTGTTGATCTGAGCAACCTGGTGTGCATCAGGAACAGTTTGCACACTGGCACCTTGATGTTGCTGAGACAGAAACGAGTGTTGTTGTTGGTAAAATCCAGTGTGATGCGAAGGTCCGTATATTTCTGATGGCTGGCTCCTTTGTTCAAAGCCTGTATCAAATTCATTTGGCGCATCAACAAGACTTCCACTGCCTCTATTCATTCTCATATATATTGTCTGAACCACCAGCACCAACTGAATTCCACCAGACACAGTAACAAAGGAAGCACTGCTAGCTTTGGAAAATCAACGCACAACACTGTATAGCAATTAAGCAGAAACAGATTGAAATTTATTTTTAAGAAGAGAGGAAGATAAGGTTCATCAGCACAGAATGGCTGCTGCTTGGCTGATCAAGACTCATTTCTGGGCTGGTTTATTTGTCTTCCTCTGCCACACAGAACATTAAAACATTTTCCAGAGGAGCTGAATTCTTTGGAATAGCAATGACCCTTCAAATGTTATCAGGTCAGTGACAGGCAACATTCTGTCTTCATACTTCACGGCTCCCATGCGTAACAGCTCAAGTTCATCCACATTTGCTGTGTCGTGGTAACAAAAGGGCTGTGATATTGGATAAAATGTACACAGACCAGTTAATTCCATGGGATTAGCAATAAAAGAAAACAAAAGGCGAACAGTTACAGCCAAGGTAAAACACAAGAAAGGCAGTCCCTGCTTTCTTCAGAACAAATCAACCTAAGAAAATCATTATATAAAACAGAAAGACTTACATGTTGTAACGAGCGACCAATACAAATTTAGATTGAACCCTAAACCCAGCCGAATCCGAATAGAGCTGGCCTTTTTTCTGTGTTTTATTTATTTATCACTTTTCCATTAATAATATTAATTAATGTATTTATTTTATTATTTCCCTTTTCTTTTCTTTTTCTTTCTTTTTTTTTTGGGGGGGGGGGAGGGTAGGGTGCTAGCATGGACTATCTATACTATGTTGGGAGGGCCCAGTCTCAGAGGGTAAGATGTCACATGTCAAGACGTAAGCTCTACTGTCAAAAGATACATTCGCCAGGAAGTAAAAGTAAAGGGGGTTACTGTAACTCTTGAATTTCTCATGGGGTCCCCACTCAATTATCCATCCTAATAATTTTAATCATTAAAATTAAAAGTAGGCCTCTCAAACTCAATACTCTTTCAAAGTAGGTACGGACCGAGCCTACCGCATTTTCCTTTGCTGAAGAAAGCTCACAAAACTCTGGGCCAACTTGTCTTTTTCATGTTCTTTTTAAGTTGGCTCCTGACACACCAAACCAAACTAAAACGTCAAAGTTATAGGCCTAGATCTAGATTTAAATCTAGATATCTAGAATCTAGTCACAATCGTATTCCATTATTATAATTATATGAATATGAGCACTTTTCTTTTCTCTAGTCTAGTCCCGACATCTAGCTTCTAGATATAGATCTAGATCTAGATCTAGATCTAGATCTAGAATACTAGAATAGAAGAATCCACTTTCAAAATCAAAGTTTACAATCTAGAAATCTTACCTCAACTTCTTGTCGACAAAAGATGTGATGGAACGGACTTTCGAGATGACGTGCTCTCTCCTATCAGAAACGGATAGACCTAGAAGGAGGACTCGAAAGAATGTCACTCGTAAAATTAGGAAAACGGAAATACTCACACTCACAGTGCCGTATGTGAGTGAATTGTGGAAAGTGACAACGGGAAGAACTGATCCACCAGTTCCACAAACCGAAACCAAAGATCGTAGTTTTGTGATTTTTTTTGTCCTGTTCTCTCACCGCTAGATACTTGCATAATCGAGCATTCTTTTCTTGCGATGCTAAGCTCGAGCATTTGACATAACTCGGGTACTCGAGTTTTATTTTAATCTTCCGATTTATTACTAACAGATTGTTTTCAAAACCTAACCAGCAGTATTTTTGTACAAATTTAAGAACAGCATAGTCATAGATTTCAGACATGTTTCTTCATTATGGTTGTGAATAATATAATAATAATGATAACAAAAACAGATTGCATTTATATAGCGCTCTGTCTCATATATGAGTGTATATGTGCTTTGAAATTACACCAATTACACGATCACGCAGAGCGATTCATTCAAGATAGAATATTTCACTGTAACAAGAAAAACCGGTTCAGCCACATAAAGAAAACGAAGTGGCTAGCCGTACTTAAGTACAGTTAGCCTGAGGGTCTAGCCGTACTTAGATATCAAGGTTGGCCCCCAAAATTCTACACTTAGTGTGGTATTGGCCCTATAAAGACTCAAACCTGTTGAGTACACAGGTCACATTAGATCTAGATCCAGTAATTATTCAGGTTTAAAATTCATGCAAGTCAGTAAGGCACCTTTTGTTTTTGTCTGAAATATAAATACTTTATTAGGCATTGCAAACTTAAAATTTCATTTACAATTCAGCCATCAATAATACGTAAACGGCTAGCCTGATTGTCCAGCCGTACTTATCTCAGAAAACAGGTCTCATTAATAATTATTCAGGTTTGAAATACATGCACTGTCATTAAGGCACCTGGTTTCGTCTCAAATACAAATACTTTAGGTACTGCAAACTAAAAATAATTTATTTACAATTCAGTTGGCTTTTTTTTTTTGGGTGGGGGGTAAGTCTAGCCATCATATTAGAAATAAGTACGGCTAGCCTAGCAGTCTAGCCGTCATCAAGTATATACGGCTAGCCTCTTCCTAAAGAAAAACTTTCACAACCATACATCAATTATATAGATAGGCGTACACGTAAGGGCAGCAGCAAAAACAAAATATAATTTCAGCAACACAACTTACTAGATCTAATACGCTCTAACTAAGAATTAAACAAATAAGTCTTGAGCAATCCCAGGTCTCACGGCTATGCGTACAGCCCCCCTGTACGCTTAGCATATCGAGACTATGTGTACGGCCCTCCACTTCACATAATAAGCTAGACTTTGTTGTAGGCGGCAATCAAACAGAACACTGCAAGTGGAGAAACTTAAACCCTGGCCTCCTACCCCCTACCTCATAACTTTGATCAAAGATCATATACGGCTTTAATTAAAGGATTAGGATTTTGTTTTGATTTGAAAATTACGATCAATAGGGTCATCTTCGAGTTTTGTAAACAGATGTTTACTTAAGCTGACATATTCCAATACCCGAATAATCGATGCGAATTTCATGAGCGAACTATTTCTTTTGCTCCAACCTTTTAGTCAATGTGTAAATCCATATATATGTACCGGAATTTCGCATGGCCGAGTCCGAAATTCGCATGCGAAGATTTTGTTTCGCACGAGGAAGGGAACTTTTTTTCTTCTGCACCCAAATTCTTTGTGAAGTGGGCGGGGCTCATTTCCGGCCAAATCTACTTCCTTGAACGTAGCCGCCTGGAGCACTATGTAAGGGGAAAAACGTCGAAATATTGATTTCCTTGGTTCGAGAGAGAAGCGTTAAAACTAGGACTGAAAAGAGGTGTTTATTTTCAAGGTGGCTGCCATTTCCATGGCAACCACATACTTTTTTAAAGTTTGTGGGAAACTTTCGGGAGTCTATATATGTAATCCATCTTCTATATGCTGTCATTTAATCGTTTAAATCATGTAATAATAAAAATAGCATTTCGTTATACCCCCTTCCTTAAATGCACTTGAATAGAACTTCTAACATACATAAAATCATAACTTAAGATTGCTGTCTGTGCCGCACTGAATTTCGGGTATATGGAAGATCGAGGGCTCTTTTTTCATCGCACCCGAATTTCGTACGCGAAATTCGCACCCGAAGTTCGCATCGGTTTTTCGGGCATGTGGAATACCAGCTTTAGTCTTTTATTACCATATTCGATATTTAGTTTTCAGTATCGATGATAAAGTTAACAATTTCCCTATCTTTTATTTATAAAGAGTTCCAGTTTTCAAAGGGAAGCCACTCTCATGGAGTATTTGACAGTGGTGGTATCGTATGGTGTTGAAATAATAATCGTGACTGGAAACGGCAACGCGAAATAATTGAGTCACACAGGGGGATCTAGACCTAGATCTAGATCTAGCTTTTGAAAAAAATCTTGATATTTTGGTGTAAAATTTAAAAATTGCTAAACACTCAAATCACGTTCTATCTCAGGGTTATGATGAAACTTTAATACAATATTATTGCAAATAGCATCGATCCTTTGCCAATTGAGAGCGAATCCACCACCAACGTTGTTGTCATTTTAATTTGGATTTCGGAGTGTGATCATTAGAATCTACAGGATTTTCGAAAGTCAACGCTACAAAAATCGACACACTGACTTTTTGGGTACATCTTTGGGCCCTTCTTTGAATAGGCTTACTTTTAAAACTAATCCAGATCTATGTCGAAAAAGGTGGCCTTCGACGACAATGATCCTCTTGTCGAGGAGACAGACAAGAATACAAGATTTAAGGAAAAGCATTCGCTGGATAGCGATGAGGAAGATGAAACGACGAAGTATGATGTTCTTGCTGAAGATGATATTGAAGGTAAAAAGTAGATGGCTTTTCTTCAGAGTACAAAAGTATAGAATCTCCATGCATATTCTAGATCTTATCTATTTGGTAACGGGTCATTTCGTAACGGTAAAATTTCGACAGTGTGATGCTGGCTGTGACAACTGACACGCCGTTAATTGCGACAGAATGACTCTGTAACAATTAGCAATTAGAATCTTGGATTCTAGGGCGGCATTAATTGCGACAGAGTATGTGGCAAAAAAAGAAGGAAGAGGCTAGCCATACTTAATGGCGGCTAGACTGGCAGTCTAGTACGGCTAGCCAACCAGCCGTACTTATTTTTATAATAGGAATAGTAATAGGAAGAGGCTAGCCGTACTTAATGACGGCTAGACTCGCAGTCTAGCCGTACTTAAGTACGGCTAGACTCGCAGTCTAGCCGTACTTATTCTTAATATGATGGCTAGACTGACCATTTACAAAAAATAGGCCTACTGAATTGTAAATATACATTTTTAGTGTGCAGTACCTAAAGCATTTGTATTTGAGACGAAACCAGGTGCCTTAATGACAGTGTATGTATTTTAAACCTCCTGTTTTCTAATGTTAATAGGGCCTAAGATAAGTACGGCTAGACTGGCAGTCTAGTTTAGCCGTACTTAAGTACGGGTAGACAGCCAGGCTAGCCGTACTTAAGGACGGCTAGACTGTCAGGCTAGCCGTACTTAATATTGATGGCTGAATTGTAAATGAAATTTTTAGTTTGCAATGCCAAAAGTATTTGTATTTCAGACAAAACCAAAAGGTGCCTTACTGACTTTCATGTATTTGAACCTGAATAATTACTAGATCTAGATCTAATGAGACCTGTGTACTTAACAGGTTTTAGTCGATTGGGCCAAACCTAGATCTAAGTACGGCTAGACTGGCAGTCTAGCCGTACTTAAGTACGGCTAGACTCTCAGTCTAGCCGTACTTAAACGGCTAGCCACTTCGTTTATAATATGATGGCTAGACTGACCATTTTTTAAATTAAAAAGGTAGCGTCAATTGCCACCGAGTGAAGCTATGTCAAGTCTGAAAACAGTTCACTATCTTTAGCGTTATATAACTACATATGTGTGTCCAATGGGTCAATTTGTTCTCAACTAATTTCATTGGACGAGCATCTAGTCTAGAGCTATGGTACCAACTTGCAGTGTTTTCAATGAGACGTATCTAGATCTAGGCTAGCCTTAGCCTACACTTTGACTTTGGTGTAGAACCAACACTAGACCTGCATGTTTGCCGACAATCGTCTGAAATCCGACAATCGCGACCCGACACGCGAGCCGGCCGATGCTGTCGCTAGGCCCACCTGTATCAGTCAATGTGCGAAGTGCGGGGCCTGGCCGACTGCCAGCGCCCCCTTTTTCTCCCATCGGCTTTGTCGGCACTTTCGTTTTCGTGCCGACCGCCGACTGCCGACGTCGGCGTTTCCGACATAATTGTCGGAACCTGAGTAGAAATGCGAATACGAAAAAGGACGACGACCTAAATTATCTACTTTCAGTTTCGTGCTCGGGCGGCCATTTCGAATTTCGTTTGTTTACTGGTTGTTCAGATCATGTGGATTCATTAAGTCCGACTCACTTGTTCTACTAGAATCTAGATCTAGATTTAATAATTTATATAGATCATTATAGACCCCAATGGAGGATTCATATACCAATTCTATTGTGTCAAAACCAATCATAGGTTGTGCTGTAATATTAATGTTGGTAAAAAGCATTTCATCAGGTGCTTGAATTATTTATTTATTTAGACTTAGAATCTAAACTAGATCTAGATCTAGATCTAGACTCAGCTGAGTCCCTCTGTTCGGAATCGGATGCGGATTTCTAGTTCAAGGCCTATTCCTGTTCACTTGTTCTACAAGATCTAGATCTAGATTTATTTAGATTACTAGAGATCTAGATCTATATGGAGGATTCATATTCCAATTCTATTGTGTTATTGTATCAAACCCGATTAATATTATACTAAATTATAGCAATTTAGATGTAGGATGCTCCTTGTTTGTTTTGGAGTGTGGTTTTTTAATTTTTAAATTTTGGACTTGTGCTGGCCTTTTTACATGAGGCCCGTTGCAGGTTCTTTTTAGGTGTAGGGTTAGGTCTCTTCTTTATTGTGTTTGTTGGGGTGGTCGCTCGTTACTCGGAAGTCCTTCATTATGCCACCCACAAAAGCTCTTATGGG